GATTTACATGAGTGATACTAGGTTAATGATATAGTCATTATAAGGCTTTCCATATATACTTCTACAGAATGATCATTCATAATCACTTGCACACAACGAATTGCTATCACAAGTAAAACATATATATATGTATATTATTTGTTTCTCTCAACTATAAATGGGCATAAACGGCCCATACAGACCCAAAGGGATAATCGACAAGCGCATTATTTGGGTTTCATGTAAAAATCATTAGTAATACAAGATACCTATTATTTATACCATATACCACGTGAATTATTAAGTTATTATATATATCGAATCAATTATAATTAATTCATTACTGTTGCTTATGATTTCCGAAGAAATGCATCTCATTTGGATGTCTTTTTCAGAAATAGTACATGACAAGATATTTTCTTAAAAGATGTTTGAGGCTTCATGGCGAAGCTAGACTTTGTGTTATTTTTTTCCCTTTTTCTGAATTATTGGAGGATCGTTTTAACTTTGACACGCATAATCAATATAGCAATCAGCAAGTAGCAACCTCAATATATATTTCTTGTCCATCACATCGACAGCTTAGCACATTCATTTTCAAAGAGAATCTTACGAGTGTACGGGTTACTTTCATAAAACAAAAATAATATTTATACTGATAAATTTGATTTCAATATTCGATGTAACTTTTTTCAATGAAAACATATAAAGCCTTCAATTCATCAACAAAATACCAAACAGAATAAGGATAATTTGCTGAAAATATAATAAAAAAAATTATAACTTAAAAAGTAATCAAAAATTCCAAATCCAATGATCATGATTTTGCCACATATCCCACTTTTACTTACTTTTTTTTGTTTGGTTATACACCAAAATCACCCAACAGAATATAGCTTTGAGAATCGCTTGTTTTGAATCTTTTGTTAGAAACCTAATGAAATAGTTAACTTGTCTTTGATTAATTTTTAGATAGTTCATTTGTATTTTAATATTTTATGTTATTACTTAATACTAGTATTGTGTATAATCGGAACTTAAATTTAATAGAGTGTGTGTGTGGCAAATATGATTTTCAAAATGAAAGTATGTAAAATAGAAATATTGGAGGTGATTTTTTTGTTTTGTCACATACGGGAAGTGAATTAACAAAAGAAAAAGTATGTAAATAAACATAAATTTGATGGAAAAATATTTTAGAAAAAATAAGAAATCTAACACGGATATATATAACATGCATCGGCCTTTGATTGGTGAACTAAATTAGACGTTTACAACCAAATGAATTCGTTAAGTGGAATATTCTGCTGATGCTCTTAATTATAATTATATTTTCTTGAAACATTCAGGAATTATGTCAATACTAAAAATATTCTCATATTCTATATATCGATTCAAGACTCCTTGCAAATATTCTACGTACTAATACATATATACAAACTGCATATTATTTTGAATATTGTATTGATTGTAGAAATGATTATCATACTATATTATTTTGGGACAATTTAAATATGTGCGACAAGACTTATGAAATTTCAGGGTTTAATGCATTTCGATGGTCTTGGTTATATTTATATTGATTTGATATACATGTTTTGTAACCAGGGAGCAATTTCAACGAACCTTGATAAAGTCGCTCCAAATGGTAACTAACCGCACCATTCCGCACTGTATTAAACAGCAACAAAA